CAGAGCAACTCTGCCTCGGGCTTCCTGTAGTCAGCTGCTGGTCAGTTTCAGCAGCGGCTGAATCTGGACGCCAGTTCCGACTTACATACAGATTCAACTTAAGAACAAACCTACAGTCCCTATCTTGTACGTAACCCGGGGCCTGCCTGTACTTATTAAGAGCAGACAGGGAGGGGCCATCTGTCACTGTAGGCAATCTCATCATACTATCCCCTCTATAAACTTATCAAGCTGATTCTTGAAACAACTTACATTTTTTCCCCAAGTACTCCCTTTGGAAGGTTTTTTCAGACCTCCCACCAATGGCTAGAAACTGTCATCTAATTTCAAGCCTAAACTAGTTGATGGACAGTTTATATTCTTTTGCCAGTATTGACCCTTAACTGAAGTATCTCCTCTCCCTTCCAGGTGTTTATCCCTCTGATGTATTTATAGACAGCAGTCATCTCTCCCCTCAGTCTTCATTTTGTTAGGCTAAACAAGCTAAGCTCCTTCGGCAGGTTCTCCATTTCTCCGATTGTCCCAGTAGCCAAATTAGTTGCCTCTTTATTTCTATGCTTCCTCTTTTTCCGAGCATACACTTTGGAGAGATTCAAAGGCCACTCAGATCCAACAGAATTCTCAGTAACAATTCAAGTGACTAATCAAAAACTTCACTTCCAGGTTTTTGGACTGGAACATCTTTTTCCCTGCGGGATCAGAGGACTTAGGCTTACTCCAGAAAATCCATTTGAATAACTAGCACTAAGAACATTGCCCATGTAAATATTCCACTCAGTTCCAAGAACCACCAGAGGCTCCTACATAAGGAAAGTTTTTGAGGACATGGTCTGTTCTCACTTAGGTCTTGATAAAAAAGATACACAAGCAATATATTCTATGATAGAGCACTTTCTTCTTTCCAAACATTTCAAGTTTAGTCACATTGGAACAAAAGTAAAATTACTGCAGACCAAAAAGAACACTTCCGAAAACCCAGTTATACAGGGTTTTATATTAAAGTACCCATTCCAGAACAATCTATGGGGCAGAATAAAGAGCAAAGCCCCCTCCAATTAAATCACCTGTGACATAGTCAATGACTGCTACTTTCTAATCACACTCCTTTAGTCATGCAGAAGACAGAATTCTGAGCTAAAAGCTGAAGTGACAGGAATTGAATTTAGGATAGTGTCTTGTGAACTTCACTAGAGTGATTAAATAAGTGTCTGTAAGTCAGTCTAGAGAAATTTAATCTTAGAAGCAAGATCTAAAAGAAGCTAGTGTACAGATTTTAGTTATGTTAAAACTGAGTATTCCCAGTTGCTCCTAAGTCTGAGCATTTCTTGTATGAACAGCATGAGGCGATGCTGAGACTTTTGCTCGGACTGTAAAAGATAACACAATAACGTCTCCTCTAACCTAGTCAGCTCCTGGAAGAGGGAGAGATCCACTTTCTTATCTTTTAAGCTAGCAGAAACCAGCTGTGATTATTTTTAAAATAAGGCAAGAGACCGAGTCATGTGGCTAGTAGTTCTGTAGATTGTTTACCTCTAACGTAGGTGTGATGCAATGTGCATATGCATTTCTCATTTATTTGGTCATCTTCACCTAGCCCCCCCCCCCCGGCCGAGACTTGAGCTTCACATTTTAGGTGTCTTTTGTCAACATGAAATTAATGAGTAGTGCAAAATAAAAGCATGCGATGCCTTGTTCCTAATTCAACGTGTGTCTAACAAACATCAAGAAGAATCATAGCACCGGCATGCAGAGAACTAGGACTGGGTGTGCAAGCAATCACTCTTGCTACCTTTAAGATTTCTAGGCCTACTGCCCCCTTAAAACTCTAAGGCTCTTGTGCAGCACTATATCTGCTCTCTCGCTATCTTTTCTAATACATGCATATACATAATGAAACTGTGAAAATGCACACACACAAGCATGCGTGTGCACATACAGAAAAATCCATCTACAGTTCTCTTCTAGTGGCTTTCTGTCTAATGTTAGGGCTGACTATTCCCCTTTTCAAGCCAATGCAGTTTTGCTTCATACAACACAGAGAATAACCTACTTTTCCCTCCCTACTTTTCTCAGCTTGTTCTTTCCCAGTACGACAGGGCTGCTACACAAACAGCAGAAAGACTGGAAGTCTTACAAGAACAGTCTCTCTCTCTCCCTGGAGGTGGTATGGGAAAGAGAAAGAGAGATTTCCATTAAGTTCACCCTAAGTTTTGACTTCATCACAGGCCTGCACAACTCGGAAAGTGGAGAGGGCCATATTACTCCAAAGAAAACAGCTGCGAGCCGCAAGAAGGGTTGCCAGATGCTCTCCAAAAAAATACCGAATACGCCGGCTTTAAAAAAAAAAACCACCCCACCACGTGTCGGGCATACAGAAAAAACCCCACACCACCGGGCTTCAGCATGCAACAACAGATTTTGTTGAAAGCTCAAGATTTTGTTGAATAAATTCATACACAAGGGAAAGACTCACAGTCACACATAAAGAGAAGAAATATCTCAGCGCAAAATTTTTTCACTCTGATACAAGTTACAATATCGACGGGGCGTAGATTTTACCAGCTGGCAAGCTGTAACGAGGCGGGGCCGCACTGTGGCGGCGAGGGCAACCCCCCCTGCGCTCCAACAGCGCTGACTCCCGTGCTGCATGGGGAGTGTGGCGTTCTGACAGCGGTCTGCGCTGCGCAAGCGGTCGCCCAGCCGACAGGTGTGTAGGGGGGCCGAGTCCTGGGACGGGAGCCGGAAGTGGGGGCGGGGCCACACACGGGCGTAGGGCGGGGCCAGAGCTTGTGTCCCTGTCATCACAAGAGAGCACCGCTTTCAAAAGGCGAGTAGAGGAGAGTGGAAGAGAGAAGGGAGGAAATATTATTTCCAAACGTCGTCATGGGCCGCACAGTGAGCCTCTTCAGGCCGCATGCGGCCCGCAGGCCATATGTTGTGCAGGCCTACTTCATCAGAAGACTGGAAAAACAGCTTCTTCTCAGTAATATTTCCAGGGGCAAATTTTTTATAATTGTCGTCATCATTATTTAAATAAGAGATTAGGTAAGTGACCTGAACTTCTGAGGAGTCCATCAAGGGATAGGCGAATACATAAATCAGGATTTATTTATTTTAATCCTTTCCTGGTCATGTCCCCAGTTACAAAAGCACTAGCCACATCTATCACAATTGATTGGCTCTGCACCCATCAAGAATTAGCTAGGAGATCCTCTCAGACTAGACTGGAGGAACAAAAGCAAATTCTAGTTCTAAAAGTTCTTTCAATTCTCAAACAGAAATACTCAACTCTTTCAAACAGTGGTTAATAAAAAACTTGCACTAGAACACACAGTAAAAATGATTTTTTTATTTCATACTACACAAGAGTCATTAAGAGACTGCCAACAAGTAACACCAGAAAATTCAACTTCTCTAAAGATCATTTTATCGGAAGACAGGTCTTATGCTAGTTTTAGTTTCTACTAAATACCTTCTGCAACAGAACAATATAAACAGTAAGGCATATTATTTAAATTGAAAGGAATTCCAATCAAGGATCAGGGCCCCATTGTGCTACTTTGCTAATTGCCTGTTGAAAAGGAAATAATTATTTTTAGGCAAAAAAATTCCAAAACTAGAGAGAGTTGCTTTGCTTACCTACTGTCACCAGCATTTGCCACATAGAGTTTCCCCAACATATACACAACAACAAGGGCTGTGCAGCCACCAGATATATTGTAAACACTCCTCTCTCGCTCGATTTGCAAGTCCTGAGGAAAACAGAAGAGAGTTTATAAAATAGCTGTGCAATTAGCATTTAGGAAGAAATTTTATTAAAAACTTAACATATTCATATTTCTAATCCAAAAGTTCTGTTGAGTTTGTCTGCTTGTTGCTGCCAGAACTGTATGTTCCGGGAAAAAAATGGAATGACTATGAGCAATGTACACAGGGCCCAATCCCATTTGTTCCATGGATAAAGTATTCTGTTTAGTATCTTGCAAGACATACAAGAATGAAGTGCAGTGTTACCCACGGAGGCCATCCTCTGACGAATATTTGAATTACACTCTGATTTTCTGATATATTCACAATTTCTATTACTGCCTACAAATCAAAATTGAGAGGGGTGGAGGGGGGGAACAAAAGAAATCAAATCTAAGAGTATTTTGTCAGAGAAATATAAGCATAAAATAAACATCTTTAATATATCTGCCATCTTTGCCATAGACAAGTTTTAAGTTGGTATTCATCCCTATGGATTTTTTTTTAAACCAAGACAGGAGTATTTCAAAAAAGAGGCAGAAACTTTTAACCATCAAAATAATTTAAACCCATACACTAAAGTGCATTTTGAAGGCACTACCAACTATGTTAAAATAGCTTTATTCCTTGGTTTTTACTAACAATCCTTTCAAAATCTGAAATCAATGTCTGTTCCCTTACCCATCTTCAGTCTGCTGTGCACATGCTTTGGGATTGTAAGGATGCAAATATTATATTTTGTTTTAATAGATGACTTCAAAAGTATTTTTTATGATGCAAACGAGGGAGTACTACAACAAGCCTGATTTTTTCCAGAGTATGTCTACATTACAAAATTACATTCACATAAGTTATGATGATGATGTACAGACACCATGATAATTAAATCACCTTTGCATATTTACACTATGTTCCTTGTGTCAGTGGTGCATTACCTGTATCAGTGCAGCGCACCCATGCATATCCCACTGTGCAACCTGCCATCAATCAGTGCAGGGTGTTTTGGGAATGGTTTGCAATGCCTCGTGGAGGCAAATGAATTGCAAAAGGGTGACTGGGAAAATGATTTCTATATCCTATAATGCAGTTTTCTCCATCCCATAATGTTTTGTGCCTCTTTTTCTAAAGCCCCATAAACCTAGGTGCATGTCATCTCTGAGAAGCCTGGATCTTGCATAGTTCCGTACTACTATGATGAGCATTGCAAGTAAGGGATGTCTGATCCTGCTGTATTTACAGTATTGCCAGAAAAGCTGTGGGAAATGATTCCTTGAAGACTAGATTGCTGTGTAACATGGACAAAAGTAATTCAGCATTGTTGGCTGCATTCACAGTGCACAGATGGTGGAGTGCCAGTTCTGGGCCCAGGAAACAAGCACTGACTGGCGGGACCATGCTGTCATGCAGGCTTGTGATGACAAAGTGGTTGCAGAACTGTTGAACGTGCAAAGCCACATTCTTAGATCTGCAAGCAGCGCTAGATTGCTGTGTAACATGGACAAAAGTAATTCAGCATTGTTGGCTGCATTCACAGTGCACAGATGGTGGAGTGCCAGTTCTGGGCCCAGGAAACAAGCACTGACTGGCGGGACCATGCTGTCATGCAGGCTTGTGATGACAAAGTGGTTGCAGAACTGTTGAACGTGCAAAGCCACATTCTTAGATCTGCAAGCAGCGCTTTTAGAACCACAGAGCTGGAAGAGACCTTGAAGGTCATCAAGTCCAGCCCCCTGCTTTAGGCAGAACCAATCCCAATTAAATCAACCCGGCCAGGGCTTTGTTAAGCCGAGACTTAAAAATCTCTAGGGATGGAGACTCTACTACTTCCCTAGGTAACCCCTCCCAAAGCTTCACCACTCTCCTAGTGAAACAGTTTTTCCTAATATCCAACCTGGACCTCTCCCACCACAACTTGAGACCATTGCTTCTTTTTCTGCCATCTGTCAAATGCCAAATTTAAGCTTGACACTTTAAGTGTCAAATTTAAGTCCTCTGAACTGTCATTCATGCTTAAATGTGACACTTTACATATAGGTCTCAACAAAGACGTTAATTATCGTAGGCCCTGACCCACAAAGACATAAAGATGCCTAACTTCCAACTAGCTTTGTACATCTTGGACTCAGCTTCAAACAGGGACCTGCCTGGTGCAAAGAGAGCTTGGTGGGTGAGTCCCAGGATCTGTTGACTTACCTGGTGTCTATCACCATTCTATTAAGATTTGCTCACTTATGTCTGGTCTGCTCTCCCAGCCTGGCTTCCCATGTGTTCCAGCCTGCTCCCTGTGCTGATCCCTTGGCCCTTGTCTCAGTCTGAATTTTGGCCCCTGGCATCTAGCAACCACCACATCAGGAATTCAAACTCAAGCTACATGGCTCCTATCTGAATCTCCTCACCCCCATGGCAGTTGATACGACATTCATTGAAGGCCACTCCTCAGATATCTAGGCTGAAATCCTACTCTAGACAGGCATTTCCCTCCCTAAATAAGAGGTGGGTAGGTAGGGTAGGCAGGCAACAGGAACTCAGGAGTAAGATATCCCCCCCTTTTCAAGAAAACCAGGAAACTGGGGATATCTCCTCTCTTCGAACCACACAATGAAATACTGCTTGTGGGAGCAGGGCTGTTTTTATCACATTGTGGAATATACATACTAGTTTCTTTCTTAAATAGCCAGTGGGTAATCTCTATCCATTGTATTTCATTTCTGAACTGCTATGTCTTTCAGTCCTTCTGGGATTATGGATATTTATTAATGATCACACTTAATGGACATTGCGACAACGTGTGTTGTTTAACAATAGCAACATTTAAATTAATTACGTTCTTTTGAAAATCTTTCCTTCAGGTGAGTACAATAGGCACCATTCAGTGTTATTTCTGCTCATGTCCACCCTGTCCAAATGCACTTTTTTTCCAATCTCTCCTTCTGGTTGGTGGGTTTGCAGGAAGAACATACACAGCCTTCTCCAACCCCCCCCAGCCTCTCCACCCCCGAGTTAATGTCAGACACATTGGATTAATGCAATTGCAGGATAGTTGCATGGGGGGGAGTTGGTGGGGGCGCCAAACTAATCCCTATTGGTAGGGGGATAGTGGGAAAAGTCCTTGGGTTGGGGGTCACATAACACTTTTTACTTTTGGTTATGTGCCCATCTTACCCAGAGAGGGTTACCTCCACGGGCATGGTTAATGGGGGCGGGGGGGGAGGTCAAAGTGCATTTTAAAAAAATTCTTTGGATGCACACCCCAATGAAATGTGCTGTGTACGTCTATGCTGTGTGGATGTTTTGCAATACCAGATTGCTGCTAATCAGTTGAGAATCAATATGGTGTTGGGAAGCTCATTCTGGGGGTTGCTGTGATGCAAGCATCCATGTTCTCCTATGAAGGACTCACTCTCTGGGCAACATGCAGGACATAGTGGATGGTTTTGCAGTAATGCAGTTGCAGAACTGTGGTGGGGCAATGGATAGTACACATCCCTATTTTGGTACCAGACCACCTTACTCCAGTGTACACCAACAGAGAGGGGTACTTTTCTATAGTACTGGAAGTGCTGGTAGGCTGCTCAGAGAAGATGCATGATGCATTCATCTTTAAAAACACAAGCCTCTTCAGAAAGCTGTAAAGCAGGGACTTTCTTTCCAGACCAGAAGACTATCACTGTGGATTGCTGATATACCAATAGTGATCCTGGGAGATCTAATGCCTTTACTCATGTGGTTCACAAAGCCATACACTGGCCACCTTGACAACAGTAAAGCATTGCTTTAACTATAGACTCAGAAGGTGCAGAATGACAGTAGAATGTGTGTCTGACTATCTGAAAGGTTGCTGGTACAGTCTACCCATGAGATTAGACTTCAGTGAAAAAAGATCCTAATCGTTATAGCTAGCTGCTGTGTCCCTCATAATATTTGTGAAGCAAAGAGAGAAAAAGTTTTTGCCTTGAAGGAGCAGATGTCTGCTGATTTTGAGCAGCCAAGTACAAGACCTATAAGAAGAACTCAGCATGAAGCTATATAGCTTATGGAGACTTTAAAATACTATTTTAATAGTAAGACACAGTAATCTGTGTTGGTTTAGTGTGCTCTGCCTTGCATTGCTTTTTTGCACCCCGTTATGAGCCTTGTAATGAGTTCTTTTGCACCCCGTTATGAGCCTTGTAATGCATAGTGTGCATAGTAATATAACATTGCATATGCACCTATCAACTGTGAATAACGTCCGCCTCAACCAGCATATGTTGTGAACTAATAAAAATGAATTAAGTTTCCATAAATAGACTTTTATTCAACATCCATGCAAACAGACAGTTATAATTGAATGAAATTTTATAAATACAGGGAAAAGAACTTTTCAAGGAGAATGAACAGTCATTTCCATTTCACAGAACACATATACCAACCATGTATCTCAGAGGTCAGTGCATGTACTGCTGTGCTTGCTGCAGTATCCCTCAGGGTGGAGTGACAGGCACAGTACAGTGGTACGGTGCCTGATGTCACATATAATGCAGTACTCTGTGGGCTGCAGAGGGAGGCGAGCATGGAACTGTTGAACCCAAAGGTTTGCAAGAGTATACAGCATGTACAAGTGTATCTGCAGCAGCAGAAGCTTGCAGCATCTCTTGGAACGTGTCAGCTTGTGTTCTCTTCCCTCCTCTCCTTATCTGGCTGTGCCGTGTGGCTGGTGTGAATGCAGAGATTCTCAAGATAACTTCTGCAGCTGCAAAAGATACCATATATAGAGGTACTACTGTGAAAACTTGGCATACTGAACTCACTCCCCTTGATCCACACAACTGGCAAGCACTGCATTCTCACTTAACTTTGGGATTCATAAAGGAGAAGCAGTCAGAACGATGGTGAGTATAGCCCAGGAGGGAGGTGAATAGTTCACAGGCATGCCTCTAGGACAACAAAACTGAATACTGGCACTGTTTTCCATAGGTGGTGGAGATTTTGGCTGAATTCCCTCTGCTGAGGGTTACAGAGGCGA